TTAGGAAGACATCCATACAATTACTCAGAATGAATGCATGTGGGAAATAACCTTACCTCATTCCGTTGTCTGTGAACACAGGCATGTATATAAAATAAAGTACAGGAAATATGCCCTTTAATTCTGGTTTAAATTTGACACGCCCATCCACCTACCCAATGAATGAAATGGTAAAAACCCATCCTGGTTACATTCAAATCTTCTTTTCTCTTCATGGCTAATAAGAGTAAGCCCCAGACAACTCAAGCTCCATTTGCAATGCATGCTAGATATACCTCATTTTCCCTGCAGCCTTTCCTCATGTCTTAGGAAGGTACATTGCTCTGGACTCAAGCTTTGTCTCCCATTTTGGGTCAAGATTCTATCCACTGGACTTGAAGATTTATCTTTGTTTCTTCAGGTTATCTCTTGGTTTACTCCATGATCTTTGGGTGATAATTACCATCTGCCTTTTTCTGCCATTCATCTGAAATCCTGAGGGGAGGCGGGAGGGCCTAAGGAAATATTTAAAAATAGTAACACATTAACCTGAGCTTGACTTGGATCTCAATACCAGTGGAGGAGACGCTACTGTTTACGTCTACTCTGATCTTGAGCTACTCTAAGCCACTCTCTTCTCCAGGCTGAGGACCGTCCCACTGAAAGGGAACCTCAGAAAAGATAAACTTTAATGCTGTGAAAATCCTCAGCAAACTATTCCTCACGTACAGTCTTAGTGTTCACAAGAATGAACCCAAATAAAAGAGGATTTGGGCTCCATCTGCAGCAAATCCCCAGTCATCGACAATAATTTCTCAAAATACAAACTTTAAATATAGTTTCCATTAAATTGTTATTTAGCTCTTCTGGTTCTGCTTATATTAGCTAATGTACAAATGTGGGTAATTCAGAAAACAAAAGATGTTCATTCTCTTTTCACTCATCTTCTATAAAATACTTGGTATAGCTCCATAGTTGTCCCACATTAAATCATTTCTGTCTTTCTTTCTCCTACACTGCATAGGCTTAGAATGAGTCCTGATTTCTTTCAGGCACTTTTAATTTTATTTTTCCAAACCATATGTCTCACCCAGCACTGTATATTCCTTATCTTATTGTATCCTCAAGCTAATTGTATGAAGTAATTATTATAATTCCTACTTTAAGAGCTGTTAAGTGATTTGTCTAAGGTCACACAGCTGGCAAATGGTCAAAGCAGTATTTGAACCGTGATCCTTCCAACATCAGGGTCTCTGTTTTTTTCATTATACTATTTTAATTTTGATGAGAAGGGAAATTCTGCCTTAAAAAAAATTCACAATAAGAAATTATATATAAACCATAAAAAGACATGGAGGCACTTTAAATGCATATTACTAAGTGAAAGAAGCCTGTCAGAAATGTATACACTCTGTATGAGTCCAATTACATGACATTCTATAAGATAATGTAGACAGTTAAAAGATCAGCGGTTGCACATGATCGCACTCATTTGTGGATATAATAAACAACATAAACTGATGAACAAAAATAGACCCAGAAATACAAAAGCATCTAACAGACTTTCAAACCTCAGAGGGAAGGTGGGGGCAGGGGTGGTAAGAGATCAACCAAAGGACTTATATGCATGCATATATGCATAATCAATGGACAAAGATAGTAGGGGGGTAAGGGCATGTGCTGGGAGGTGGGAGTGGCCTGGGAGAGGTCAATGGGGGAAAAAGGAGACATGTAATACTTTAAACAATAAATAATTTAAATTTAAAAAAAAAGATCAGTGGTTGCTAGAGACTAGGGGAGAGGCAGAGATAAGAAGGCAGAGCACAGAGGATTTCTAGGGCAGTAAAACTGTTCTGTATGATTCATATCATTATACATTTGTCAAAACCCATCCTAATATATAAAAACCCAGGGTCCATAATGTCCAAAACGACTGAAAGCTCAACCTAGCAGAAGTCAGTCCTGCAGTCAGTGCTGGGTTGCCGTGGCGACCCAGCACTGACTGCTGCCTCTGCGGGCATGGCAACCCAGCACTGACTGCTGAGGGGGCTGCAGATAAGGCCCGGAGAGAGGCCTGGAGAGAGAAGCAGGGTCTGATCCATAGCCTCCGTGGCAGCTGTTGATCAGCCCTTGCCTCTTTCTTTCTCTCCGGGTCTGGCCAGCAGCCGCACCTCTCTTTCTCTCCAGGCCTCCCTGGAGGCTGCTGATCAGCCCTGCCTCTCTGATCAGGCCCAGAGATAGGCCTATGACTGGCATAGAAACCGACCAATCAGAATCAAATCTGGGTGAACTATGGGAGCCAATGGCTGTCTAGGAGGTGGAGCTTTTGACACTGACTGGCATAGAAACCGACCAGTCAGAACCTAATCTGGGTGAACTGCAAAGGCAGAACCTATGGTGGGGGCTGAGGAGGGGTTTTAAGGACAACAGCTGTTTGGTGTAAGGTGTAAGAAAGCAGTTCAATTTTTTAGTGACCGGTTTGGCAATATAGTTCATATGGCCGGCTATCAGTTCAGATATAGGGATTATGTATTTTTGTCTGCCAAGAGCATCTCCTCCTGATGAGAAAGGCTTTTCCCCCATTTAAGCAATCCTATCCTACATAATCTATACTAATAAAAGGGTAATATGCTAATTAGACCAGGTCGACCAGCCATCTTCCAGACATCCAACTTCCTTCCGGACAAAGCCATGGTGGTGGGAGCTGAGACAGAGACAGTTAGGGGTGATCAGGCCGGCGGGTGAGGGCAGTTGGGGGTGAGATCTGGCCGGCAGGGAGGGCAGTTGGAGGCAATCAGGCCAGCAGGGGAGGGCAGTTGGGGGCGAAATCAGGCAGGCAGTTGGGGGGGGTGATCAGGCTGGCAGGGGAGAGCAGGCTGGAAGGGGAGGGCAGTCAGGGGCAATCAGGAAGGCAAGCAGAGGCAGTTAGGACTGATCATGCAGGCAGCCAGGTGAGCGATTAGGAGCCAGCAGTCCCAAATTTCAAGAGGGATGTCTGTCTGCTGCCAGTCAGACATCCCCTAAGGGGTCCCCGATTGGAGAGGGTGCAGGCTGGGCTGAGGGACCCCCCACACCCCCCCCCAGCACAAATTTCGTGCACCGGGCCACTAGTAGATTATAAAACACCAAGAGTGAACCCCAGTGTAAACTCTGGACTCTGGGTGGCAATGATGGGTCAATGTAGCTTCATCAGTTGTAACAAACGTTCCACTCTGGGGGAGGTTGATAGGGAGGTTGTACGTCTGTGGGGACAGGAGATATATATGAACTCTGTACTTTCTGCTCAATTTTGCTGTAAACCTAAAACTGCTCAAAAAAATAAAATCTAATTTCAAAAAAGATTTCCCCACTAAACAGACAAATAGAAATCATAGATTTTATGTTACTTCACGCCTTGCTCCACTTTCTACCCATAACACTTAAGACATTATAAAGAGAACCAAAATTAGTTAAAACTAAGCCAATAGAATAAGATACTAGAAGTATAAATATCCGAGGGCATCCTAATTCAGCCTGTATTTCCCTTTCTTTCCCCTTCTTATCATCTATCTGGTCATCCTTTTGGTTGTTTTCATTTTATTCCCACCACACAACTTCTACAGCCAGGAATGGAAAAAGAGAAAACAAAAGCAAACGTTTTCACAATACTCTTAGTATTTATGGTTCCAGTTACCATTGCTGCCAAAACGTAGTGTGTAAAACAATCATTTATTATGCTCACGGATTCCATGGGTTAAGAATTCAGACAGAGCACACGGAGGATGGCTTGTCTCAGGTTTGTAATATGAGGGATCTTAGCTGGGAAAACTCCAACACTGGGCAGACTCAACAGCTGGGGGCTGCAATCATTTGGAGGCAATTTTTCCTCACATGTCTGGGTGTTAATACTGGCTGGGACCTCAGCTAGCTTCACAGCCAAAATACATATCCCTGGATTCTCCATCAGTCTCTCCGTGTGGGCTAGTTTCGATTTCCTAGTTTGGACATGGTGACCGTGTTCTAAGAGAGAGCATCCCAAAAGAGCAAGAAGGAAGTGCATGACATTTTTATGATCTAGTGTCACTCGTAGCATATCCTATTGGTCAAAGCAGCCAGAAAGGTCTACCCAGCTTCCAGAGGGAGGGACATAGCCCCAAACCCCTGGATGGGAGGTGTGTCAAGATCACATTGTAAGCACATATGGAATAGGAGGTATTGCTTTTGGCATTTTGGAAAAATATAATCTACTGCAATAACTCTTGTTATATTTTATTATACCTTAAATATCTAGGTATTGTTGCATTTGAATGTTTGGTTAGACATTGCTCCTCATCTTTATTTGTGATTATCTGTTTCAGATTATAAACCACATGATGGCAGGGACAGCCGTGTTAAGTTCATTTTCATGAGCTCCAACATAGAGCCTTATACTTGACAACCACAGTATGCAGCATTATTACTATGATGCAATTGCTGATAGGTACATGCACTTGAGCCATCATTATTTTTTACATGGGTAATGTGTTGCAGCTAATCGCTATAAAAGGGCATATAGCATCTTTACAATTTTGTATTGAAGAGAGAGAGAGAGAGAGAGAGAGAGAGAGAGAGAGAGAGAGATTTGATGTTACACTTACTTATGCATTCATTGGCTGCTTCTTCTTTGTGCCCTGACCAGAGATCGAACCCACAACCTTGGTGTATCAGGACAATGCTCTAACCAATGAGATACACAGCCCTGGCACCTACAGCATGTTTAATATGCAAGTGAGTCTTGTTACAAAAATTAGATCTTGGTAGCTTGAGAGGAGTACCTAAGTTCTTCCAAGTGAATAGATTCTTGTAAAGCAATAATAGAATCTCACAGGTGAGTGGGGAACCACTTCCTTGAGGAAACTATCTTTTTTTTTCCCTCTGCGATTAGTCACTTTCGATTTACTAGATTATTAAAAGGTGTATTTGAGGAATCGGTGTGAGACCTTGATCATGGATGTTGATCTCTTCTGAAAAGTTAATTAATGAAGGCAATTGTCCCTTTTCAGTTGATTTCATAGGTGGCTTTGATTCTTATGGCTATCAAGGGCCTCAGAAGACATCTCATTTACAACTGCAGCCTATGTACATGTAAGTACTTTACTTGGGTGGGTTTTCATCTGGGGTACCACAAGATGGTGAAGGAAATTTCTGTGGCACAAAATAGATGGCATGCAACTTTCCTTCAGTTATATACTTTAGCATTTCTCTCCTATTCATATCGGTTTGACTGGATAACTCTGATACCATTTTCTTCATAATTATTTTTAAATTTAACTTAGAAATGCCACATCTAAAGTTACCTTAAGTCTTATATAAGTATCAACTACATGGCTAAAAAAAACCTCTAATCGTATACTAATTTTTGAATTACACAAAAGTTGCATATACTTAAAATCACATAACATTGTAGGTGGTTATATGTGACTATATATAAACCATATGTTTTGGTTTTCCCAGGAGAGTCTAGATTTACACAGGTTGTCCTGGTATAATTATTACCAGCACCCCCAGTTAGATAATAAGTGTTGTTATCACTCTAGTTAGATATAGTGTTTAAAAAATCAAAAACTGAGCAATACTTTATCATTTTTGTGATTTGAAAAATGAAAATGAAGCCAGACTATTAACACTGAAACCTATCAGACCCTTAACTCTAGCACTCCAGAGAGCAGATATACGATCAGAGCCTGATTTTTATATCTGTGTTTAGGCAAATTCCCTTGGATAACAACTGATAACAAATTCTATATATCAGCATCAACTCATATGCTGAATTGCAAGCGAAGATCAAAATAGAAAGTAAGATTCCAATTCATTTTGAAATGTGAACTTCTCTCTTTGAAGATATGTGTTTGTTGTCGTTGTCCTCCACCATTGAATCATTTTACCTTTTAATATCGTTAGTGTGTAGGATAACAAGTGTGTTTTTGGAGTATTTCTCTGGAGAAATTAATCTTTATGCATACCTTTTCAGCTTCTTTTTAAAAGGGGAATGATCTATGCAGCATGCCTCCATTTTTCTTTGTGTCCCTTGTAGTTGTTCCCTGGAAGATCTGGTAACTGATAGAAAAGCCTCTATCAATTCAAATATCAGGCAATACTATGTGTCATTCAAATCATTCCTTCTGTAAACATTACTTCACATATCTCCACTTTTATATCCCCACAACACTGTCCTAATTCTAGCATTCATGGCCTTAAGTTTTCCATTCTCGTTCTTATTTTAGAACCCCTATCCCGTCATTCTTGTGGCCTCTAAATTGACCTTCCTAAAGTACCACTCTGATCATTTCACTCCCCAGTCCACAAAATATCAATGACTTCCTGTTACATACCAAGCAAAGTCCAAGCTCCTAATCAAAACCTGGAAATCTACTCAGATTTGGAAGGTTTTGTTGAAACATATCTCTTCTCCTCAACCCTTAATAACTTTTAAGTCCCAATCATATGCAGATGATGCTTGAAGATGCTAGGAAAATGTAATGATGAATAAGAATTGATGCCTATCCTCCTGAAGCTTATAATTTACTAGAGACCCAGTGCATGAAATTCGTGCTTATAATTTACTAGAGACCCAGTGCATGAAATTCGTGCATGGGGGGGGGGTGTCTCAGCCCAGCCTGCACCCTCTCAAATCTGGGTGCAAATGCAGCCCTTCTGAAAAGAATCCCCCAGTGGGATTGGGCCTAAACGGGCAGTCAGACATCCCTCTCACAATCC